TGCCAAACTATTTAAAAGTGTAAATTATGATTTTTAAAAGAAAAATTTTTTCTTAACTAATTATTTAAACAATCGAAATATAAAAAAATCGTTTTTAAACAATTAAAAATCAAAATAAGAAAAAAAAATTTTTTTTTAAATCATAATTTTTTGTAAACAACAAAATAGCAAAAAAAATTTTAAAAAAATATTGAATTTCTCTATTTGTTTATAACAATTTTATAAACAAATTACGTAAAAAATTCATAACTTATGTTAATTACTGCCATTGTTCAATGTGAAAACAGGCATAGCTAAATATTAATTGAAAAAAAATTTTTTATCAACATTTTTTAGATTTTTAATTTTTCAATAGTTATAAAAAATCATAATTAACAAATTAATTAACTTTAATGAAAATTAACCGCAGGATCTTATAAAGTACATATATCAAAAGGGCTCCACGAAGTTTAAAATTTATAGGCCAATTATTTATACCTTTCATCCCATTGTTTATGCCAATGGAGATTGGGAAAAAATTGGTTAGTTAACAATTGAATAACTACTTTTTGAAAAATGGTGATTAAACTTTTTTTTTCTTCAGGGCTCGATTCTTTCAAGTGTTAAGAAGATACTAGAATTTTTTCAAATTTTTAAAATCACATTTTATATTATAAAAAAATTATTTTTATTGCTGAACTCTCTTTAGCGGCGGCGCGCGCATGCCGTAACAGCCGCGCGGAGCCCTATTTTCAACGTCTAATTAAAATTATAAATAATGGAGATGGAATTCAGGGAGTGGGGACTTTTTTTATTGGAAATTTCCTCCTCTTTAACGAGCATTTTTCAAAATTGCTTAAATGTTAATATTTTTCGAGTTATTAACAAAAAACGAAATATCATTTTTTTTTCATCTTATTTTGTTAATAACAATTGCAATTTTTAACCTGCACCAAAATCCTTCAAAAACATTTTTCTAGAGGTGATTCCGAATCGAATGAGCCATCGCTCATATTTTTAGGACCTTTATCTCTATTTTTCACGTTTTTGAACTTGTTGTCTAGACTATATCAAAAAACTACCAAGAAGAAGATCAAAGAAAAAATGTCTTTAAGTATTTTGAAAAATTTTTTCGTCATTATTGCAATTTACTCAGCTTTTATTTTGCTATCATATTTTTATAAATTTAATAAAAATAAAAATATTAGCCTTAAAAATAACTCTTTAAAAATTGTTAAATATTTGAATGTTATTCTTGTTTGCGTAATTAAAGAGTATATAACATGAACAAAATTTTACAAATTTTTGTAATATTGCAACAGTAATACTTAACTGATATTTTGTTAATTATTTTCCGATAATTTACGTTTAATTATTGAGTGAAAATGGGTTCCGAGTTTTTTTTAATTGGCAAAATATTTGTTTTAATAACTGGGGCTAGTAAAGATATCGGAAGGGAAATAGCTATTAAATATTCAAATATATTAGATAACGGTTCACACTTTTTATTGATAGCTCGAAATAAAACCGGATTGCGAGAAACAACTAGTAGAATGAGCAACCGGGTCCATGTTGATTACGCTAGTATAGATTTATCTATAGCGAAAGCTGATCAGTTGGAAGGTAATATCAGTATTTATTAATATTACATCATAGTTGATACTTATATTCACCTTTGCTGACCAATGACTGATATTTTTTTATTTTATTAAAGATCTAATTAGAAAACGCGTTAATCCACATGATTATGATGGTGCTGTTGTCATCCACGATGTTGGAAGTGTTGGTGATATAAGCCCATTGACTGACGAAATGGATAATTTTGGTGTTTGGGAAAAATGTTATAACTTGAATGTCTTTTCACCAGCTGTTTTGACTTCTGCATTTATGAAAATATTCAATGATAAGGTTAGAGCAAAAAAATTGGTCATCAATCTCACTTCATGGGCAAGTTTGACACCTTACCAGTCATTGGGTTATTACAATTCTGCAGAAGCTGCACGTGAGATGTATTTCAAAGTAATAAAATTATTTTCTTAATTTTTTATTAGTTAATCTCTACATTGAAAAAAATGCTTGATTCAAGAAAAACATTTCCTTAAAAATTTTATTATTGTTTTAAAACATTAAGTTCTCTCAATTTGAGAAATTTTATTCTGAATTAAGAACATAAAACTCTTGAATGAAGAAAAACAATTTTTCATTCAAAAATTTTAGTCTCAAACGAAGTACGAAACTATAATCTAACAATTTGTTGTATATTTCATTCGAAACATTGATTCAAGAGTAAAAAAAATACTCGGATTTTCGTTTATTTTCTTTATTTTCAACAATACGTACCAGAATGAGTTGAAAGTATTTTTTTTTTGTTTTGAATAAGGAAACTTTTCCGTAAACCAAGAATGTAAATTCTCAAAGAACACTGGGATTCATTCTTAGTTGAAAGCAATTGTGTTTTCTAATGAAGAATTTGATTGTATCTCAAAAAAATACTATATAAAAATATAGAATTTACCAAACTAAGACAAGAAGTTTCAAGAAAAAAAAATTTTGAATTAAATTGTCAAGTTCTCTTCAACATAATTTCTTGAATTAAAAATATGTTTTCTTTACTCAAGGAGCTTTATTTTCAGTGTGTGTAGAAACTAAGTGAGGTTCATAATTTATAACAAAATAATTTTTCAGGTTTTCGCTAAAGAGTTTCCAAAAGTCAATGTTTTAAATTATTCTCCGCATATGGTGGATACTGATTTGTTAAGAAAAATGGAAAGCATAAACAGAACCTCTGAAGTTCCAGAATATATAAGAAAATCCCGTCGAGAAGGAAAAGTTATTACTACGATTCAAGCGGCTAATGGTCTTTTTGACATAATCAAGAAACACAATTACAAATCAGGAGACCACGTTGATTATTTTTATTACTTTAAAAATTAAGAAGTTCAAATATCTCAATGTTGAAAAAAGATTTATACATATTAATTAATGAACTGACAATATTCCTTATTTCTTGAGTGAACAATAATATTGCAAAACTTTGCTCTGATAACACTGTTTAAATATTGAGAAACTTAATTTTTTGATCATTTGTATGTTTATAATTATTTAGTCTTATCTTATTTTCAGTAGTAATGTTAGCTAAGCAATGCTTGTATTATAATAAAAATATGTAATAAAAAATCCGTGATTTCTTTTCTCTTGAATTATTCGATTTAATATTAATGATTTCAATTTAAAATATTACTGTCCAATTAATACGATCTAAAGATTAAGTTTCACCATTGTATGGCCGATTGAAATTATTTAGAAATTTTTGTAAATCATAATACTTATGAAACCTTAAATTTTTCGAAATGTTTTCCGGTGTTGCTAGAGCACCTAATTATAATCAAACTAGTTCTGACTGAGTTCTATATGAAATTTTAAATACGCTTTGAACATTAATGAATTATTGACCAAATCATTGATTGTTGAAAAATATGACCATTTTGCAGGAATCTGAGATCGAAGAACTTTAAAATTGATCGGCAAATTAGTTGGATGATAATTGGAAGAAATAATTTTGATATTTTAGTCGAAACTTACTTGAGTTTACATTGAGCGACTACATCAACGAAATTTAATGCAAAATATGAATACGATGAATAAAGAAAATATTTTTACCGAAAAATAATATAGCTTTAAGCTTGATGAATTTAAAAATATGAGGAAGCACCTTTTTTTGATTATGTATTTTATTTATAACCAATTGAAACTTTGATTTCCGAAAAAAATGCCCTCAAAATTTGATTCCGCATAGAATGAACTGTCGCTTATACTTATGACGTATGTTACGGCCCCATGTAACTGGTGCATAAATTTATATTATTTTTTTTCTGAATATATATTGTGACGCACCTCGTAATTTTATATAAATTTAATAGAAACTAATTATATAATAAATCATAAAAACGGAATAAAAATAAAATACTCGAGTATTTTATTTATTCACATGAGCGCAAGAGAGAAGACAGTCGCACGCAGCCTACTCGGGAAAGAAAGAAAGAGAAGATAAAGAAACGGCGAGAGCGCCGGAGACAAGCCGGGAGTAGGGGAAGCAGCCGGTAAACCCAGGAGCATAGTTCTCGCGCACGCCGTGAGGCAGCGCGGTGACGCTCAGATTGTCCGCGCGCAGACTATCGCTCCTGAGTTCTTAAAAGCAATTTTTCGATCACTTTAAGTCAGATCAGCTCGGGCTTCCGACGAGAGTGGTTCACTTACGAAAGAAGTTTTGAGTGCTGTGCTGAGAGCAGTTGGTGTTGTTATATACCGTAAGTATATACTACCCGTAATTCGGCCCTCACAGTGGATCGCTTCATCGCCAGGTCGACTTGAGGTACTTAAGTCACCGAATAGCCTCTATTGCACGGCAAGAGGTAAGGTTGTGGTACACGAGCTCTCGTTTCGAACGAGAATTGGGTAATAGCTAGGAGGTTGTGGACACCTGGATAAGGAGGTACTTCTTATCGGAACACCTAGGGGGAGATACGGCTGGGCGTTGGGGTACCTGACACAATCCCGGTATCTCCATAATGGTAACCAAGTTTCTCTTGGTTAATAGAGGGAGCTAGGGGGAGATTAGATAGATCGTGGTCGCGACGCGTTATCCCGTAGGCTGCAAATTAGAAGCACGGCTTGTCTAAAAAATAGTATCGATGTATATATTGCAATTTTGAGGTTAGATTTAAGTAAAATGCGTGCATTGTACAGTTGTATTTTGGTATATTATAGCTATTTGCATTTATTATTAACACTTATTGTTTTATTATTAATATTTATCTTATTATTATAAATATTATCTATTTGTTTATTATTGACAAATATTTGTCATTATTTTTATTGTTTTATCTGGTATTTTATTAAATGAATAAATTCAGGCTTGTATTTGATTTCTGTGTTATTATTTGCTTATTGATAGTTAATATTAAGTTATCTGTGTTGCGTGATCCTCACCCAAACCCTGGACCGCGACGAGCTAGAGCACGAGGAAGTCGTATTAGCACACGACGAGGTATTAAACCCTTCCGCAACGTCACAATATAAATATTCAGAAAAAAATAATATAAATTTATGCACCAGTTACATGGGGCCGTAACATACGTCATAAGTATAAGCGAGAGTTCATTCTGTCATTTAGTATTCATTTAGTTACAATAATATAGTTGAACTATAATAATTCCTCAATAAAGCTTATTTACCATTATATCCCTTTGATTGGGTAAAAGAACATGTGCATATAACCTGCATAGGTTATGTATATACAAAAAAAAAATTTTTTTTTGTTTTAGAAAATTCATATGATAGATGAAGAAAAAGATAGGAAGGTAATTTCCTGTTTACATCAACAAATACAATTTAGAAAAATATTATTGTTTTTGTTCCTATCTCATGTTTTCATAAGACAGAATGACGGTAGGGGTCAAGTCAGGTTATCTTTTATTGCCTAAAGATTGTTTTTCATGGACATATGGTATTAGATATTTCTCGGTTGAGGGATATATTATGGGATTTCTCAGCGTTGATTCATTCAATTGAAAGTTTTACTGAGTGCTCAATGTGAGATAGTGGTCTTACAATCTTGTTGCAGTTGCGTTTTTACTATGGAGCCTATTAATTCTGATAAATAATTCAAAATTTTAGTTATTTACCATTATGTTGCAGTTATACGTGTTATTTTTGTTGTGATCTTTGTTATTCTGATTATACTGGAGGATGTACCTAGTACCTCTACAGGAACTTCAAGTTTATCGTTGGAATCGGAATCTCAAGGTAGAGCTAGTAAGTGTCGTGCATATATATATATCTGGCGTTATGTATAGATATATATTTATAATTATAGGTGTACTGACTATTTCTCTCGCTCTTTTCAGGCGTCCTTCTATTGATGCCGAATTGGCTTCAAATGGAGTATGTTTCTTCCAGCGGTTTTGGCCCTGTTGGACAATTTTTTCGTGAATCCAATCCTCAACGTCATCACTATTCTCGAAAAAAAGAACTTCCTCTAGGTGATGTTAAACGCCTTCGGACGAGGTTGCTGAATTTGTTATCATGTCGACTGGTAATATTTAACTCTGCGGAAGATGATGAGGAATATGGATAGTCTGTCCCACCTTTTTGGGACCCGATTATGGACGCAGTCCCGGATTCTTTAAACATCCTAGCACCATTTTATTGCAAACTTCCACTGAAAGTTATTATCGATATTGATTTTGATGGATCTTCCTTGTTGAGGGTGAGGTTATGGTAGAGAAGGTTCAGTTGCACCATGGATTTAATAAAGACCACGTATCCAGCGATTCCCATTATAAACCCGGTGATACTTCAAGATCCATGTTTGAAAGATAGATGGTGTCCCGAACCGTTTAAGCCAATAGTTGAGTAGGGGTTTGGTTTTTGACAACTCCTACAAAAAAAATAATATAATAATAATAAATGTATGTATTCATACATAAATATTACTAATACATGATAAAATAATGAAACCTCCGTTTAAATAATCTAAAATTATGTATACATGTTAACATTATATAAATCGTATTTATGTCCAATTTTATTAATTACTTGCTGATATTTTTTGAATTATTTTTTAGATATGATTAGAAAACGTATCAATCCGAATAAATATGATCATGCCATTATTATCCATAATGTAGGAACATTTGGTGATACATCTCAATTGACTGGTGAAATGAATAATTTTCGTGTTCGGGAAAAAATGTATGATTTGAACGTGTTTTTATCAGCTGTTTTGAACTCAGTTTTCATGAAAATATTAAATGATAAAGTCAAAGCTAAAAAGTTAGTCATTAATATGAGTTCATTCTCTGGTAAAACACCTTTTCAATCGAGTGCTTATTACTGTTCGGCAAAAGCTGCACGTGAAATGTATTTTAGGATATTATGCTAAGTTTTTGAATATTTTCTATTAGCTTATTCGTTATTTCATAGATATATGAGGCAATTTTACACGCAATTTGGTTTTAAAATTTTTGCTCAAGAGTTTCTAGATGTCAACGTTTTAAATTATCCCCCTTACATGGTTGATAATGATTTATTTAGAACATCGAAAAACATAACAAGAACAACAGAACTTCCTCGATCGCTTAAGAAAGGACGTCAAGAAGGTAAAGTATTAACGCCTATCCAAGTAGGTCATCGTCTTATTGCTATTATATGGAGACAGAAGTCTAAGTTGGGTGCCTACATAGATTACTATGATCCTATATGAATGACAGTAGTTTTGCCAAATTTAACAAAAACTCCTAATATACTAAAGTACCTCAATCGACACTGTTGGAAAAATTATTATGGAAGGAAGAACTTACAATTTAATGTAATATAGAAAAAAATCCATTGATAAATGAAAATAGAATCTATTTATTTTCCCATAATTCAGCTGACTATTAGTTTTATAAATTGAAACATTAGCTTTTTGATGAATGAACTTTAATTTTTTACTTTTTAAAGTTCCACCGATCAATGATCCGTGGAACTTCAAAATCCACGGATCAGTATCTATACACGGAGAGAAATTTATAGGAATCTTTCCAACAATTATGGGAATGGATCCTATAATAAAATTAACATTATAGGCATTAATCCTATACTCATTATGGGAACCATACCCATAATTTAT